GAGAGAGAGAGAGAGAGAGAGAGAGAGAGAGAGAGAGAGAGAGAGAGAGAGAGTGAGAGAGGCAACGGGCCCGGATACACACACCCCCGTTTAGCTGTACCTCACCGGAAATATGGCATGTGTACATTCACTATTGCGGTGCCTTATGCTCGGTGTAAAGACAGTATGAACGTGGTTAGCAGACAGACATACAGAGAGAGAGAGAGAGAGAGAGAGAGAGAGAGAGAGAGAGAGAGAGAGAGAATGCGGCTCGCAGTGTGTGTGTCTGGGCGGGTTGCCCCTTTTTTGCGAGAAGAACGACGGAGCTCCGTCTGCAATGCTCTTGCTCGACTTAGGGCCTCACTGCACTTTCTCCAAATGTGCAAAATGGGACTGAATCCACCGCTAGAACATGGAAAGATACGTTACCATCTTTTTTTTGTCTTTCGTGCTTGTGGAGAGTAGTGCACCGACCCCTTCCGACTCTATGCACCTGCGACAGTCAGAACAAACAAATCTATATATACATATATTGAAAAACCGAAATGTCCTTTGCGGCAGCATACTTCACGGATCTGATTGATTGATGGCCCCGACGCCCTCATTTCCAGCACTACTTTTGATATTACAGAATTACACTCAAATTTTTAGTATTATGAATTTACTACTTTTATGATATGAAACTGGATCACCAGCTCACTTCTTTGTGTGTGTGTGTGTGTGTGTGTGTGTGTGTGTGTGTGTGTGTGTGTGTGTGTAACTATGTGTGTGTAACTGTGTGTGTGTGTGTGTGTGTGTGTGTGTGTGAGAGAGAGAGAGAGAGAGAGAGGTGTTTGTGTGTGTGTGTGTGTGTGTGTGTGTGTGTGTGTGTGTAACTGTGTGTGTGTGTGTGTGTGTGAGAGAGAGAGAGAGAGAGAGAGAGAGAGAGAGAGAGATGACGACATGGTTGTTTGTGGGCGTGTGCGCGCGTGACGTGGTCTGTGTCTGATAGGGACAAATCGCCTCTCTCTTTCGTCTCCAAAAGAGCCCAGATAACGACAACTGGCAAGTATTAAAAACGAAAGGGCGTCGCTCCACTACTCTCCACATGTACAAAAAATATGGCAAACGTATTTTTCCATGTTCTAACAGACGATTCAGTCTCAAGGTGCACATTCGAGAGTAGTGGAGAGAGGACCAAAAATCATCACGTTCACCCGGGGCTAGGTCCCACTTACACGAATTAAGAGATATTGACCGTAGATAGCACAGATCAACGGTCAGAATCTCGTAATCCGTGCAAGTGGGACCTTGCCCCCGGAATAAGAGAAGTGGCAACAGTGGCACGTGCCGAACACAGAGCATAGTACCCGAAAATGTGCCCACTACCCAAAAAAAAGAAAAAACCCAAGAGTCAGGGCACACTCACACCAGCACTTTCCAATATGCATCAGATCCCAATTTCGGCCACACCTGTATGCATCTGGCCACAATTCCGTCCAGAAATAAGTAAAAAAGTCCTAGTCCGAGTATGCCCTCAGTGGGTACAGTGAGTTCGAATCCAGATGATGGAACTTTATGAGTAAGAGCACCTACTAATGAATTGCCCGGGGCCGGTCAGCTCCATGATGATATCTCAAGGCCGTCGCCATTCCGGCCTCCGTGGCCTACTAAAAAACGAGAAACTGGCCAATTCAGATACTGGACGCTGGACACTTCTGGCCTCCGTGGCTTCAAACGTGATAAATGCAAACGCATGGCGCCGGTACGGCTCGCCCCCCCCCCCCCCCCCCCCCCCCCCCCCCCCCCCCCCCCCCGGCAAGGTCCCACTTCCACGGATTAAGAGATTTCGGCCGTTGATCCTTGCTATCTACGGTCAGTATCTCTTAATTCGTGCAAGTGGGACCTAGCCCCGGAAAGGACATCTGGCAGATACCGAAACCTTTTGGCTAAGATCAAGTGTAGTATCTGTTCTGATGAGTTTAATATCTGATCCGTGGTCCATCGGGCCACCTGATATTAAATTAAATTTTCAGGGCTACGGAGGGGTCATAGGGGTAGGCTTGCCTGCTCGACCCCTCCAGCGTTGCCTTCGTCTTGCACTGCAGCGAAGCGTGGCGCGGCCCCCAACAAAAAAAAAAAAATACTGTCTCTTATACACATCTAGATGTGTATAAGAGACAGATACGGGATCGTATGGTGAATCCGGAGGGCGCCATCTAGCATCCATACGGTGATTTCCGAAGGTGGATTTCGGATAGTAAGTGGAGCGGTGACTTACTATCTGAAATCGTACAGCAGATAGTAGTGGAGCGAGANNNTTTTTTTTTTTTTTTTTTTTTCCTGCCTACTACCGAAAACCAAAACAAAGTAAAGTAGAAAACAACGGACTCCTCAAATCGAACTATTCATCATGCGAGAAAGTCACGTTGATCAATGGTCCTCTGCCTGCCACGCACCTTAGCGGCATCACAGGATGGGCCCAGAGAATGTAACAGTTCGGTAAAAAACGCGTGGGGCCGATCCTTCTCCGTCGATCATATGGCGCATCAAATTCTTCCTTCCCACCCCCCAGCTGTGGGCCTGCGCGCAGCTAGCCACGGGTCCTACCCCCCCAGGGTACGGTAGGAAGACAAACAGGTACCTTTAAGAGGTGGACCCCACTGCCTGGCGGAAGTTTTTTTTGTTTGTTTGTTTGTTTTTGAGGCGGAATATTTCCGCCAAACAGGGAGCTTTACGGCTCACACGGGGACTTATAATCCCAAATTCCCAAAAAAAGGGGAAAAGGCCGGTCACACGGATCTACCAAATTGGCAAATGTACTCTTCCAGTGCCCATTTGTCAGCGGCCTGGGAAGCCGCGGGGCAAGGGATTTTGCGGTAACCTCTGGAGGTGACCGCAAATTCCCTTTTTTTTTTTGCATTTTCTTCAACAAATTGGCAAAAATTCGTTCACAAAAGTTCTTGCACAATGTGTGGGTGGGGCCGTGTGACCAGCCAAGTACCAAATCCCCATTTCTCAAGACGGCCGCGACGTTGTCCCATCTGAAAAGGTACAGCAGTGTGACCTGATTCATGCCCAAAACCTCAAATCGGCCCTTCCCAAAATGGGCATTTGGGGTAGCCGTGTGAGTATGCCCTAAGAAGTGGACCCCACTGCCACTGCCTGGCGGAAAGATTCCGCCGAACAGGTATCTTTACGGCTCACACATTACCGGATAGAGAAAACTTTCCCTATATGGAAATTTCACATCCACAGTCTCTGTTCTCACCCAATCCCTGGCTCTACTTTCCACATGAGATGGCAGAACCAAGGGAGGTGTCACCCCCCTACCCCCTCAGGGCACACTCACACTACCACGTATTTTCACAAAATAGCAAATTTTATGTAGTTTTTCGGGTCACAAGAGGCATGTATTTTGCGTGTTCACACAAAAGGGCACGTAAATGTCAGCGGCCTGGACAGCAGTGGGCTTCCATATGTTGCGGGAACCTCCAGCGGTCCCCGCAAAATCGTATTTCTTTTTCCTCTACTGCTTTCTGGAAGAAAAAAAATTAAAATTAAACCACCAGTACTTGGCCCAGCTTTTTCAGCCGAGCCTCGAAGTGCCCTGCGTGCCGTTTCCCGCCGAAGCGCCAATTCGATTTTGGTTTTCGGAAAGGCTAGAGGCGCCAGCCTTCCAGGTCCGGTTGCCCGAAGCGCGAACTTCGCGTAGCGTTAACGCTAAGGCCCGCGGCCGATATATGGGCCAAGTACTGGTGGTTTAAAGTGCATTGTGCTGTCTGACTGCACACAACGTATTTTCGCATCTCAAGGCCAGGTCCCGACCCTTTCCTTTCTGCTTTGGGCAACAAACGGGTGAGCAGTGTGACCCCCAGGTGCCATATAAACCCAAATTCACATACGTAAACTTCGCCCACATCATATCTGAGCGTTTTCCAAAGATTTGCTGCAAAGCAGTGGGGTTTAACAAATAGGGTCTCCCTGCACTACTCTCGAAATGTGCCAAACGAGAGTGAATCTTCCGCTAGAATATCGAAAGAGACATCGCCATGATTTTTGTCTTTTGTGCATGTTGAGAGTAGTGCAGAGAGGCCCATAGTCTTCCAAAGCTTTGCCCCAAAGCAGTGGGGTCCACCTCTAAGACAATGAAGGCAACTGTTGGCTTGCGACACGTCTCTCGTAACGTTATAGTGGCCAAAGACTTGCGCAGCTTTTTGTAGTGGCCAAAGACGTGTGCAGCTTTTCATAGTGGCCAAAGACTCGCGTAGCCTTCGGCTTGCTACACGTCACTCAAGACTTCATTTGTGCTCCGCGCGAAGTGAGGATGGATCTGTCGGAGACGGTGCCACTGGCTCGTCCAATGGCGATCATGAGAGACGGCATCGACCAACTCAGTTATGATCAAAACTGTGAATATCAATTACTGACTTTCATGGAGGCGTCTCGCACTCTTTTTGAGTACCTTACAACGTGCCCTTCACCTGGTATGCTCTCTCTCTCTCTCTCTCTCTCTCTCTCTCTCTCTCTCTCTCTCTCTCTTTTTTGCATCTTTCTGTGCGCCGTGCGTGTGTGCTCCCGTTTTTTTCTTTTGTAGTTAGTTTCGGCTGTGTGTGGGTGCGCTTTTCTGTCTGCTTGTCTGACAGTGTCTGTGGGGAAATCGGGAAATTGTCAAGCCACCCGCTCGCTCAGTTTGCATCAGTACACAACTGTTGATCAGATTCAAGCAGGGCACGTGTAACCCTTCTCTCTCTCTCTCTCTCTCTCTCTCTCTCTCTCTCTCTCTCTCTCTCTCTCTAAACGGCGGCATTCTTGATGTATATGCAGAGGTGACGGCCCCCAGGTAATTCGAGATCATTATGGAAGTTCTATTTTTTTATGTTGTTGTTGAAATCACAGCGGCCTCGGAGTACCAGGTGGGATGGTAAGAGTGTCATCGCCTGGTAAACTACGGCTGATTGCATGCCATGATTATTGTGTATGGAGCATCTGTTATGACAGGTATGTTTTGTTGAGAGATTATTAAGCCTCTTGAAGTATAG